CAGAAGTTTCCAGGTCACTTAGTTTGCCTTTTCACGTTCAAATGCGCGTTTCTAGATTCCAAGAGTGTTCTAAATTGTTGGGCGATCGTTTCGACACGTTTGTTCCTTTTAACAGAATCTTCCTGAATTAAATTTCATTGGATTGGCCAATAATTCTGTGCGTGTTTTCTTACGTCATTTATCAATAAAAACTACACGAAATTATTATCCAACCCAATATATTGATCGAAGTGTGGGAGCATGATGACATTTTGATTCTCGCGAAGGTTAAGTTAATATATATTTTTTCGGATACCCGCCTTAACTGAAACGTTTTATTTTGTTTTTGGATGAGAAATTTAACCTGAAGCTTGTTTTGAGGAAACGCAATTTGATGACGATGCAACAACGATGTTATTGTTGTTATCGATCACGCGTGTCATATGCCACGTACTTCGATTATCAATCTTAGTTTCTCAAGGTGAAGTGAAACACGTCGAGGAACTTGTTGACGTGACGTCGGTAACGATTTTTCTAAATACCTACGTTGCCGACATTCGTTCTTATATTGACAGCTGTATCGAATTATATTGGGTATTGTACTAAATGGCATACACCATGTGTCGTTTCCGTACAATAATTATAAAGAAATCGAAGTAAAATTCGAGAAATTCTCTGGATTCACGGGTTCTGAGGCCGTACTTGACTGCAGAAAAATCGGCGGTTTAGGGAATTGGAGCAATGTACGCGTGAAGTGAAGAAATGCAGTATAACTTAAGATATGCACGGTGTCACATAATAGATAATTTTTCAAGGGGAGAAAAATGGTGGAATTTTTAACTAGAAGTTTCTTTTAGTGTATTTCATTTTAACTTAACCTACCTTTCTTTTCCATTTTCGGCTCAAAATATTTTTCATCGAGTCGTTAGCAATTAAAATTGATCAACGAGATGAGCGCGCAGCCGAAGCACGCAGGGACGGCGCGTGCCGTAGGGCCCCTCGCTCATGCCTTACGTTCCTGCAGAAAAAATTTCATTTTAATATGTCGAAGTATTTAATAAATGAATGAATAAACAAGTAAATAAGATTAAAAAAGTTATAAATTGATTTAAAAGATTAATGTGAAAATCATTATTCAACTACATAATAAATCGATAAATTACTGTCTGACCGATTAACTGTCAAATTCATTCATTCATTCGTTCGTTCATTCATTCATTGGAAAATTAATCGGTCAATCAGTAGCAATTGGTTGACAACCAACAGATTCATTATGTAGTTAAATATTGTTTGATCAATTTATAACCGTTTTATTCTGATTTATTTATTCATTCATTTGTTAAATTTGACATATAGAGGAAGAAATTTTTTTCTGCAGGAACGTAAGGCATGAGCAAGGTGCCCCACGGTGTGTTACAGCCCTGCGTACTCTGGTCGCGCGTCGTCTCGTTGGTCAACTTAAATTGCTAATAACTTGATGAATAATATTCTGAGCCAAAAATGGAAAAGGGATTATTGGTTCAAAATTCCACCCTCTTTCACCCTTTGAAAGATTAGTTATCTATTATGGGACCCTCCCCCCCACGCGCGCGTGTGTCGTAAAAATATTGAAAAATGATAACACCAAGTTATAATATATATTCTGTAATTAGCTGTCTTCAAAAGTTTTATCGATACATTTTGAAATATGCTTGAGAAACCTTTTGTAAGTTTTTTCTTTTCCTTTAGTCTCCGTACCTCTTTAAAATGAATAAATATGTCCTGCAATTTTTTTAATTGAAACAGTTAATTATTATTTTTTTTAACTATCGACAATTAATCCAGGTTTATATTTTTACTTTTGTATTTCATACATAAACATGGCGTGAAGTGGCTTGCAATGATTTGGTTGGTTGCTTCAAGGTAACTTGTGATCAAGCATTCAAGTCGAACCCCGGGCTTTTGTATCATGTGGGAGACCTATAGACCAATAGGAGTCTCATTAATCATTGCGAAGAATGAATACTGAAAATTTGTTTTCCGTTAGTAATTTAATTCTACTTTTCCCCTCTTTTGTTCGTATGTTTCGCCAAACATTAAATATATAAACTCATTATCTCTTAAGGAGAAGTGAAATATCCCTTAACGCGTTGACTGCCACGTTGGTCACCAGTGACCAGCAAACGCCTTGGATAGTATACTCGTTATTTGTTTTGGCAATCAAAGTGTTAAGATGACATGAAAGGCGCTGAGAAATTTAATCGACGTTGATAAATTAAATCACATTTATACTCTTTTTTACGCCAACGCAATTTTGAATACTCTAGTGGTAACTTAAGCTGGCCGACATTTGTACTTATATTGACGTTTAATACACTTTACGTTCATAATTATGCACTGAGAAAAACAATTGGTTGACTCAAAGAAAGATCAAATTGAGTAAACAAAAATTATTATTATTATTTTTTTAATCAAACAAAGGTGAAAGGATACCTGATAGTAGATACTTTGTTGAACGGATGATCTGCTTTAATTGGGTCACCATTTTCTGAAGGTTGAAATAAAATAAGCATAATGTTAAATTAGTGTTTGTCAGAAATGGATCAATATTGGCTATTTTTGCATAAAAAAACGACTTTTGTGATTATGGACGTTTCAAGTGTATTATGTTCCTGTGTTCCTGGCAGTATTCTTCTATATTCTTAACTTGAATTTATGAAGTATCGTTATTAACTGCTCAATGTTAAAAACGGTAAGGGGTCTTATATAATATATAAACGAACTGCAAACGAACTGTACTACTTGCGAGAAAATCCGAAACTATGAGTGCCATCCATCGAATCTGCTAAAACATTTAATTATATACGACTGAGGCAAATATATTTATGTCAACAAAATATACGTGTTCAGTCGAACAATTCTTTTTGTCAGTATTAATAGCGTAATCTTTCGTTAAACCCTACGAATGTTTCATTTACTCCCTCATTTTGTATTATTGATGACTTCAGCGGGTAATTTCTACCAAAAATGTAGGTTATTGAATCAACTTTTTCTTATTTGAGGCAACCACACGATCAATTGGTAGAACTGCACATTCTAATCAAATAATTCGTTTAAATCACTTACATCGCTTTTTATTCTCAATAAAATCATTGTTTCTTGAAATCATATATGATTCAAGCAACAATATTTATGTTAACAATATATATTTGTGTCATTCAACTAATCTTTTTTCTCAGTGTACGAAATGAAGCGTTTCGTATGTCATTTCGGTAAAATAATTATAAAGAGATTGAAGTAAAACTATTAAAATCCCGTGGATTCATGATTTTTGACACTCTAATGGACCAACAGCTCCACCTGTGACGTTCGGCTGCTACTAATTTTTTTTTCTAAAAACATGCGTTACTCACGGAACAAGCCAGCATTCTCTTACAACCATTCGTGAAGGTATTTTTCACGTTTTCCCATTTGACTCTATAATATTCCATGTCTATAGTATTCTAAATTGTTCGAGCTAGGGCCTCAAACTCTTCATTTTGGATTCTAAGCCTTCAAAAGGCGAAAAACATTCAAAAAGTGAACAAATGACGTCTTGTTGGTTCTAGGCTATGATTAATAACAAAAATTGTTATAAAAAGATGAAATTTCATGAGTTTTAGGACCCATTTTGGGGCTTCCATATTAACGCGATAAAATTTGAGACGAATCGGTACACCTAATTGGGAGAATACTTTCACGAACTATTTGACCTCTCGGATATACATAAACTGAATCTTTCCTATCACCGTAAGGTTAAAACCTTAAGGTGATAGGAAACTTAACCTTTAAAGGTTAAAAAGGGGAACTACTGAAGCAGTGGAATCATCGAACAAGCCAAGAAGCAAACAATGGCAAACTTGAAATTAGAGTCAGTCGAACGGGGCGTAGGGTAGCATCCTGGACACAGAACGAATCTCCGGCGTTTCAACAATTCGTGGTCGCGTCGACGACTCGCATTGCGCTCGAGAAGACGGCGTAAATGACGGATGTTGATTTTAACATGATCACGAGATATCACGTAATCGCAGTCTTCGAGGTCTTCCAAATTGATTGGATGTCGCAAAACGTCGCCCTTCATTTTTTTACGAGAGAACAGTACGGGAGATAAAAGTAAAAGAAATTTCAGCCGACTATGTAGTCGATAGGTTCTTCAAAATGGCGCAAGGAACCATGTCGCCTGTGGTCTCTCGTTTTACCATGGTGAAAAAAATAAAATCCCATCTCGACTGACGTTACATCCACTCGAGCGAATCCCGAGCAAACGCACAGCTTCGTTCACGTCCTACGTCCAATTTACATGCTTTTGTTTCGTGGTTCCATACAGGGTGGAACAGAACGCTCGTAGTCACGGTTTATACAGCGCTATCCTTGTTGAAAATTGAGTCGAAAAATCCCGTACTATTTTTCCCTACAGTGCATAAACTTTTACGATAAACATTAACACACCTACAAGAAATACTAAAATACTTCCGAGAAAAAGATTAACGTTTCGATTTAGTCTAACGATAAGATCGTTCCTCACACTAAAAAAATGCTTCTTTTTTTTTTCGAAAAAATGTTGGTTATTTAGCACAGACCAGAGCCAAGATATGTCTTTGCCATTATTCACTTCTACATGGCCCTAAAGTAACAATTGAAAATGTCAGGAATTGTGCTCAATCGTTTGAAATATGATCGACACAGAAAGATATACATTCGAACCCGAAAAAGGGAAAGAAGTTTATCCGCGAATTTGAGGTGTGCACCGCAGATAAAAAATCTCCTTTGCTCTAAAATGACTACTTTGAAAATATAATGCCCATTGGTTCTATTTTTTGCAGTTTGTTCATACCTACCCACGCGTACATGAAATTTGCATGTTTCCTTTCACATTATCGTGCGTAAAGGGGCCAGACATGTATCCTTGGCGTTTCCAATAATTGAAAAAGGGTTACTTGATAAATTAAACCGTTACGCCTGTATATCGTATAAAATGCCTAAATCGAAAACGTTTCTCTTTTCGAGGTGCAGAGTCGTGGGTGGAGCTGAACCCACCGGCAGACCGAGTTACTCCATTGCCCTTCAGCAGCGGCGGAGAAGAGTATCTGCGCCTCCTGAGGGAGGCTCAGAGAGACTCGACGCAATCGTCCGCCAGGCACTCCTTGGCGTCTTCTCGTCGAGATACCCCGAGGGATAGGTGAGAATAAAACGGTCCTACTTCTGTGCAAACGCTTTTCAAATTTCTTTATCGGGTATGACCGTGAAGTCTGTACCGCTATTTTCGAATTTCCATAAAACGCCATTTGTGCTTGATCGTGCATCGTTGTACAAAAAATCTCATTCCTAAATTGTATAGATAATGATTTGTAAAATGTACAGATTTCATCCGTTGAAATAGGGATAGCAGATTATATTTATTAGAATTACGGTAAATATTTTATTTAATCAAATCCGTAAAAATTACGGATAAATATCTATAACGTTTACATATAAGTATTTGTAGTGATTGCGGATAAATATCTATAAAGATTACGGATTAGTATTTGCAAGTATTACGCACGAGTAGCTCTAATGAATACAACTTAATACCTGTAAAAATAACAGAACTGTATCTGTGAATGTAACAGGTAATTTTTATAAAGTCTCCAGATAAAATTCTGTAATGGTTAGATATACATTTGTAAGATGTCACGCTATTAACGTATTAATATTAAAACCTCGAATTTCGAAATAATTCTTTTAATGGCGTATCAGGAAACTCGGTGAAGTTTCGCGCCAAATACAATAAAAAGCATGCGCAAAAGGTACTGAATACTCAATGCCAATTGTCGGTACTTCAATTTCATAAATATTTATTTCTCAATTAAGAGAACTTAATATGGATCCAATGAAAGGATCGAAATGAAAACACCTTTCTATTTGTAGAGCTTGTAATTTTTTCAGATTTTTTCGTTCCATCCGCTATACGCTACGCTAATCTGAAAATATTGAATCTCATGTTTCGCTCATCGTATTCACCATCGTGTTTTCTGTCTGCATTCTTTTCATCGTACTCGCATTTCTCACAAGTTCTACTAATATGCTACAAACGGCGCCATGGTAGGGCCAGGATCCTACTAAACCATGGACATAAGAATATATGGACGACGAAACAGAAATTTAAGGTGACGTGAAACCCCCTTCAAATCAGTCGATTCAACTACAATACTTTTTTTTAAGGGTATTAGACAAAACTGTCCGAAATTTTGACACATCACTCCTGATCATCTACAGATTGTCCTGACACATTCAAAATTTGGATTTTTTTTTTTTAATTTTTTAACTCAGCCCAGACCAGAACCAAAATGGCGTCGAGCTCTCATATTTTGATCAATATACAATTATCGAAAGCTCTCATATGAGAATCGAAAGGGTCAGGACAATTTTACGACAAATAAGAACACTCTGGTAATCGATAAACTCGCATTTGAACGGAATAAAGGCAAAAAAAGTGTTGTATGCGTTTCTATGCTAAAACAATGGTAATACGAGGTCTCGGAGTGAAACATTTAATTGACCTGAAAATCACAGATGGCGCAGGGGGTCCTTCTGCAGTCAATTAGGCCCCCAGAATGCATGAATCCAGAGGATTTCTGGAGTTTTACTTCGATTTCTTTATAATTATTGTACGAAATCGACAGGTTGAGTATGCCATTTGATACAAAAACCAATATAATTCGATACAGCTGTCAATATAAAAACGAACGCCGGCAACGTAGGCATTTAGAAAAATCTTCTTTACCGACGTCGATCAAGTTCCTCTACGTGTTTCACTTCACCTTAAAACTCCTTTATAATCGAGAATGAATTATATTATTCATTCTTGGCCCCTAATAGCGAGGCGCCACTGTTTAACACGTGCACATACTTCATCAGCTTGCTTTGAACATAATATAAACGTTGAAACTAAAATTAAAATATTTTTCTTTACATATTATTTAAAAATAATATAGTTTACTATTACCCGTTATAAATTGATTATTACTTGCATTCAATTGACATAAATGTTACTTTTATTGAAAAACCGGCCGATTGCGGAAGAAATAGTTATACATAAATACATAAATATTAATTTCCACGAATTTAACACGCTCAAACTTGGCGTTAAGAACTTGGTGGCATTTCACATATACACATAGCTTCGCGCATACGTATATGTACGTATGCAAGTGTGTATATTTGGCGCGAAACTCTACCGAGTTTTCTGATTGTCGGTAGTTTTAACGTTCAAAATGAATTTTCTGTTTTCAGTCCAAAAAGTCCGCCGAACAGCCCAAATACGGAGTTATCGACCGAGGACGACTTGAAAGGTGTCTACATAAACTATGGTTGCAATAAGGTCAGTTTACATCATTCGATGGCCGCCTTTTACTCGTCCATCTTCCCGGCAGGGTGAATATTCCCCTGAGACCTCATATACAGCGCCTTTGTATTCTCATCACAGATACTCATTGTACCGTTGTATTATTACGACTTTGGGTGTTAAAGTCGTCCAGCAAATGTCATGTCGTTGAAACGATTAGGCCTTTGAATCGATATAAGCGAAGAGGTTCCCTTTGAAATTGCACTGCAATGCCTTTTTATCAATAGGTGATACTACGTCGCGTAAGTGGAGCAACGTACGTGCCGTTTAAGGTGAAGTGAAACCCCCCTCAAATCAGTCGACTCAATAAGACACTTTTTTTTTACGGGTATTGAGTCGAACTATCTGAAACATTGACATACGCACCTAGGAATTATCATGATACCATAAAAATTCGGATTTTTCAAACAAATTGTTGAACTTAGCCCAGACCAGAACCGAAACGGCATCGAGCTTTCATATTTCGATCAATATATAATTATCGAAGGCTCTAATATGAGAAACGAAAGTGTGAGGATAATTGTACGACAATTTAGAACACTTTGGTAATCGATAAACTTTTGAACGGGATAAAGGCAAGAAAGGTGTCTCATGCGCTGCTATGCTAAAACGATGGTAATACGAGGTCTCGGAGTGAAAATTTCGTTGACACGGAAATCACGGATGGCACAGGGCGTTCCTATGCAGTCAATTAGGACCTCAGAAAGCATGAATCTAGAAGATTACTGGAATTTTACTTCGGTTTCTTTATAAATATTGTATGAAAACGACAGGCGGAGTATGTCACTTACAAGGAAGGTATCCCAGGTCGATCTCTCCGATTTGATCTCTTTTATAATATGTTATAGTAGATTAAAAACTAAGCGACACGTATTTTTTTTATCTGCCATTAAACACTTTAAGGGAGTGAAACCACCATCCAAAGTAAGGCTTGTGACAGGTGAGCCCCTTAATTTTTCTTTTTTTTTCATTAAGAAAATAATATTTTTCATTTCTCGTCATGAGAAAGCTTTTCTAGTTGGTTTGGTTAAAAAATATTATGTTCTAATGGGTGAAATTGCCAAATCGCCTCTTGACTTGCCTTACTTTAGTTGGTGGTTTCACCCCCTTAAAATGTTTAATGGCAGATAAAAAAATTACGTGTCGCTTACAAGGAAGGTACCCGAGGCGTCCCCCGCCGATTTTGTTCATTTTGAAATATGTTATAGAGGACTAAAATCGGAGGGACCCGTGTTTTTTTTTTTATCGGCGGGTAAACAATTTTAGGGGGTGAAATCAGGCTTCCAAGTTGGCCGTGCAAGGTGATTAGTTGGCTGTATCATATAGAAGCACTCGACCGATCTTCATGAAACAACCGTCAAAATGTAGGGAATGAAGAATTATGAAACATGCATTTGGAATTTTTCGAAAAGATTCATTTGTAAGGGGTGTGCCACCCCTTTGAATACTTTTTTTACCTCTTACGCAAGCAGTAATTGCTCTAGCCAAATGAAACTGGGTTAATTTATAGACTAGAACAATACAAAAAAAGCATATTTTGGTTTTTTCGAAAAACAAATTTTAAGGGTTGTTACAACCCTTGTTACAACCCTTAAAATTCGTTCAATTCACTTTCAATTTTCTTCACGCCATCGGGTAGTTACCTCTTGTAGTATTTCTGTTGGGGGTAGATTAAGGACCTTGGGGATTGAGCACAAAAATCGGCGCTATGATATTCGGATAGCACTTAATTCTGGGAGTAATTTAAGTATATAAAGTTTCAATTTTCCCCACACCATCGGGTAGTTACCTCTTGTGGAATTTCTGTAAAGGTAGGGGTGCTAGCTTTACGCACCTCGCGCCAGGTATGAAAATAGAAACTTTGAGAAAGATTATAGGTTTAAAAAAAACTAATTCAACAGAAAATTAGCACATAATTTCCTTTTCAACTTGGTGTACTTGTCTTTTACCTTAATACATCGTTTACGAGTGGAACGTGTTAGTTTGACGCCGAGTTAGCACGCCCGGAACGAAACTAGAGTTTTCTGAAAAAAAGGTCGGTGTAAAGAAAAAGCTATTACAGCACAAAATTAGCACATAATTTCTCCTTCAACTTGGTGCATTTGTTTTTAACTTTTTATAATGTTTAAGGAGGGAACGTGCTAGCTTGACGCCGAGATAGCACGCCCGGAACGAAAATCGAGTTTTTTTAAAAAAATGTTGGTGTAAAGAAAAAACTATTACAGCACAAAGTTAGCACATTTGCCCTTCAATTTGGTGTACTTGTTTTTAACTTTCTGTCTTGTTTGAGACGGGAGCGTGCTGGCTTGACGCCGAGCTAGCACGCTCGGAACGAAAATCAAGTTTTTGGATAAAATGGTCGGTGTAAAGAAAAAACGATTACAGCACAAAATTAGCACATAATTTGCCCTTGAATTTGGTGTACTTGTTTTTAACTTTTTGTCTTGTTTGAGATGGGAACGTGCTGGCTTGACGTCAAGCTAGCACGGCCACACTGGAATTTCAAATTTCGGAAAAATGGTGGGGGTACAAAATTAATTAATTCAGCACAAAATTAGCACATAATAAGCACATAATTCCTCTGTATTCAGAAATCGTGTATTGGGATGTTGCCGTGCTAGCTTGAGGCACCTTATTTTGGTGCTATTTAAGTGCTTTAAGAATACCCAAGAGACAGAACTGAAACACCACCCTTTTCATCCCAAACCTACCCCCGAACGTATAGGCTCCAAGATAGAAGAGGTAGAAATAATAACACATTTTGCACGCTCTTCTCTTGCATTAATTTGGGTGTTGTTTAAGTGCTTTAAGGATATCCAAGAGCCAGATTCAATAAATCACCCCTTTCACCCCAGAACTACCCCAACCTTATGGGCCCTCAAGAGTACTTGTTAAGTAATAAGCAGCGATAAATTAAGCATTTTTTTTCACGAGAAGCATTAATTACGGATAAAAGTAACATTCTTTGTTATAAAGGTTTCTTTGTATGACGGTCAAATGCATGTATTAAAAGAAAGGAGCAAGAAAATGGCACTGTGCCAGGGAAGCAGGTTTAGTACAACTAATAATAAGTTTCAAGTCATTGTTTCAAATAGTTGTTTAGTTCGTGTTTTTGAATCATTTTTTATTTTTTAATCGAATTGAAATTTCTGTCCCTCCTTATTTTAGGTGCCCTATAGTGTATATTAAAAAGTAATTGCTTTGTCTTTTAAATGAACCATTCAAAATTTGTATTCAACACGTAATCTATGTTTATTTAAAACATTTTTTATCTTTATTCTAGTTCACATTTGTATATAATATACGGATATTTGTATGCAGAATTTTTTTTTTTTTCTCACTTGGTACAAGATGCCACCTGCAACTAGGTGGTGCAATAAGGAACCCCGTAATCTAGAAATTGTTTAATTGTTTTTCACCTAACAAGTAAGTGAAGCAGAAAAATAATCGATTAAGGGGTCATATGCAGTTATCATAGGCGAAATTCAAGAATTTTTTTTCATAAATAAAATGCATTTTTTAATCGAAAACAGCCTGATTTCATAGTACAATTATTGAACTTAATACATAATTTTTTTTTGGTCAGGATATATTAAAAAATTGGCGTGTACAGTAACTCTTCGAAAAAGTTTTTCTTTTTGCGGTGACCACGATATCTTAAAAAGTATTTCATGGATCGGCTTACAATATATAGAGCTCATTCTACATACGAAGGACTGCTGAATGAACGAAAGATTTTTCAAAATTCCTACTGTTAAAAAAATGGCAGTGGTTTTACTGAAAAATCACTTTTTTCGTCTTATAAAATTTTCGTTTTTCCTTAATAAAACCGCAAATTTTCATAAAAAAAAGGATCCTTCGTTCATTCAGCAGTCCTCCATGTGCCCTAGAATGAGTCCTAAAAATTCGAAGCCGATCGGTGAAATACTTTTTGAGATATCGTGGTCACCGCAAAAAAAAACTTTTTCAGAGAATTGCTGTACCTCGCCAATTTTTAAATCTATCTTGACAAAGAAATTGTATATTATGTTTATTGTCATCAATAGTACTATGAAATCACGCTCTGTTTTCGATTAAAAAATGCATTGTAGTTATGAAACAAAATTCTTGAATTTCGCCTATGACTACTGCATATAACCCCTTAAATGAAGTCGAGTGGTTATTTACGAGTAAAGAAAATACTACAATTAAGAAGATTTGTTGAATTGAAAAAATGGCGCCAGTTTGAAATTTTGCCCGATAATCAGAAATTAACATTTGTTTCCCGAGCAATATGAAGAAGAAAACGAATAATCTAAAAAATGCTACAATTTTTGGGTGAATTAAAAAAGAAGATAAATTAAAAACAAATGTTCTTGAGTTTTCAGTGTGCTCAGGTAGTAGTACTTCAGAAAAGTATGAAAATAATGAAAAACGTAAACGAGAATTGAAAGCGATTCTTCAGTTCGAAAAGAGATATCCAAACTAATTAAATCCTGAAAGGATTTGTGAATGTGTCCGAAAACGTGAACACGAACACGAACTAAGGCTTTTTATTTTTTCACAACGGCATTATTTGAAGTGCAAGTTGAAATTTACGGTCACGTCAAAAAGACATAATCCTCTCGTTTTATTTAACGACACGTCGGATAAGCAGTTCAATGACAATTCCGAAGTGAAACATTTGAGAACTAACGAGACATGTGCGCAGTTAACAAAAGTGCCTCGCAATTCAGATCTATGCGTTTCGTTACAAGTGAATCATCAGATTCTCCTATGGAGATCCTGACGAAGTGCCTTGCCAAAAACCAAAATTGCACGCACGTGTCAGTAGACTCTCGGGTTTGTCAAACGGATCTACGCCTTGAATTTCAAAAATAGTATGCGCGATGAACCGCTAAAAGTAATCCGGTGACGCTTCATTTACCTTTTCGCGTTGATTGATATTTGCATTATCTTTTTTAGGCATACCTACGTTTAAGCAATGTTGGTTACTG